TGTCAATTTTGTGTGTTTAGAGTTATTCATAGTGTTATTCGATTGCTGTCTATAGGGTGTGCAGTCATATCAACATGTTTCATTCCTGATATTAGTAATTTTTGCCTCCCTTTTTGTCAGTATTGCTTGAGGTTTGTCAATTTTACTGAATTTTTCAAAGATATGTCATTAATAATATATAAAATTATACAATATAATAATTGATATTTTAGGTCTTAACATTAACAAGATTTTTGTTTCATAAATTTTCTCTATTTTTTTGTTTTTAGTTTTATTTCCTTCTTTTTACTGTTTTCTTTTACTTTATTTTGGGATTATTTTACTCTTCTTTTTCTAGGTTCTTGAGGTGGGTAATATAGATTTTTTTTTTTTTTTTTTTGAGACAGAGCCTCAAGCTATCCCCCTGGGTAGAGTGCCATGGCATCACGCTCACAGCAACCTCCAACTCCTGGGCTCAAGTGAGTCTCCTGCCTCCGCCTCCCAAGTAGCTGGGACTACAGGCGCCCGCCACAGCACCTGGCCATTTTTTGGTTGCAGCCATCATTGTTGTTTGGTGGGCCCAGGCTGGGGATTCGAACCCGCCACCTTAGGTGTATGTGGCTGGCGCCTTAGCCGCTTGAGCCACAGGCGCCGAGCCGGTAATATAGATTATTGATTTGAGACTTTTCTTTTTGTCGAATGTGCATGTAGAGCTATAAGTTTTCCTCTCCACACTTTTTTACCTGTGTCTCACAAATTTTCCAATTTTATATATCCACAATCACTCAGATCCATATATTTTTAAATTTTACTTGAGACTCCTCTTTGATGCATGGATTATTTAGAAGTGTGTTACTTAATATCAAGTGATTTGGAGATTTTCCTATTTTCTTTCTGTTGTTTATTTCTAATTTGATCTCATTGTGGTCACCAAAGAAACTCTGTATTATTTCAATTCTTTTAAATTTGTTTTATGGCCCAGAATATTGTTTATCTTACTATTGTTTTGTGGAGACTTGGAAAGAATATATATTCTGTTGTCATTGGATGGAGAATTCTATAAATATCAGTTAGATCCTGTTAGTTGATGATGTTGTTGAGTTCCTCTATATCTCCACTGATTTTCTCTCCAGTTCAATTGATTGTTGATAGAAAGAGGTTGTGAAGTCTCCAACTATAATTGTGTCTTTATCTATTGCTTCTTTCACTTCTATCGGTTTTTTATTTACATTTTCAGAAGCTCTGATGTGCAATACATATAGGCTATCTATGTCTTCTTGCTAGTCCTTTCAGCATTAGCATAATGGCATTCTCTGTCTCTGGTAATATTCTTTGCTCTGGAATTCTACTTTATCTGATGTTGACTAGTATTTGCGTGATATATTTTTTATTTTTTATTTTTTGGGTTCTTTTGGTTCTCTCACCCCACCTACATTGATATGTAGGGCTTAAATGTTTCTTACTGTTCATTCACTCTGTTTTTCGTTTGTTATCTCTGTTTTATTTTTCTGTATTCTTGTGAGTAGATTTAACATTTTAGAACTCCATTGTGATTTATTTATAGTAGTTCTTAAGTGTATCTCTTTGTATAATTCTGTTAGTGATTGCTGTATATATTATATACACATGTGTATCTATCTATAGAGTCTATTGGTGTCTACTGGTGTCATCATTTTACCAGTCTGAGTAAAATATAGAAGAAATTTTGCCTCCTGTTAAGTCTCTTTAACTTGTCCCATTTATAATTTAATTGTCTTAGTTATTTTCTCTAAATACATTTAGAACAGTATCATTGTTATTGTTTTGCTTTAACCATCATACATAATTAAAAAAATTTAAGAGAAGAAAAACTAATTGTACTAACCACATTTTTGTTACTGTGTTCTTTATCTCTTCCTGATTTACAAAGGTTTCTTCTTTTAAGAACCTTTCTCTTCTATTTAGAGAACTTCCATTAGTCCTTCTTTTAGGGTCTAAACATATATATGTATATATATGTATGTATGTATGTATGTATTTTGTTTGTTTGTTTGTTTGTTTTAGAGACAGAGTCTCATTCTGTTGTCTTGGGCAGAGTGCCATGGCATCATCATAGCTCATAGCAACCTCAAACTCTTAGGCTCAAGTGATCTTCTTGCCTCAGTTTTCCAAGTAGCTGGGACTATAGGCACCTGCCACCAGTGCCCCGTTAGCTTTTCTGTTTTTGGTAGAGACAGGTTTTTGCCCTTACTCAGGCTGGTCTCAAACTCCTGAGCTCCAACAATTCACCTGCCTCAGCCTCCCAAAGTGCTAGAATTACAGCCATAAGCCACCACTCCCAGCTTCTTCTTCTTTTTTTTTTTTATTGAATAGTAACTGTGTACATTAATGCACTTCTGGGGTACAGTGTGGTGTTTACACAAACAATCCGAAACACTTCCATCAAACTGGTTAACATAGCCTTCACGTAATTTTCTTAGTTATTGTGTTAAAACGTTCACCAGCTTCTTTTAGGGTCTATAAGGTGATCAATTCAGTTTTCCTTCCTCTGAGAATGTTTTGATGTCTCTTTCATTCCCAAAAGATATCCTTACCAGGTGTAGGATTCTGTGTTGACAATTTTTCTTTCAGCACTTAAATATTATGCTGGGCAGTGCCTGTGGCTCAGTGAGTACAACACCAGCCCCATATACTGAGGGTGGCGGGTTCTAACCCAGCCTGGGCCAAACTGCAACAAAAAAATAGCCAGGCATTATAGTGGGCACCTGTAGTCCCAGCTACTTGGGAGGCTGAGGCAAGAGAATCACCTAAGCCCAAGAGCTGGAGGTTGCTGTGAGCTGTGACACCACGGCTCTCTACCAAGGGTGACAAAGTAAGACTCTGTCTCTAAAAAAAAGTAATAATAATATTATGCTGCTTCTTTCTGACATACATTGTGTGTGTGTGTGCACATGCACATCTGTGTGTTTCCCCCGTAAGTAAGGTGTCATTTTTTTTCTCTGGATGCTTTTAAGATTTGTTTTGGTGGGGACTTGGTTAGGGTGGACAGGGTCTCACTCTGTTACCCAGGCTGCCATATAGTGGGGCAGTCATAGCTCACTGTAACCTTAAATTTCTAACCTCAAAGTATCCTTCCACGTCAGCCTCTTAAAAAGTTGGGTCTGCAGGTGTAGCTAAGTATTTTGGTTTTTTGTAGAGACAGGGTCTCACTGTATTGCCTAGGCTGATCTTAAATTCCTAGGCTCAAGTGATTGTCCCTCATCAACCTCCCAAAGTGCTAGGATTACATTGGCCACTGTTTCTGACCTTTATCTTTATATTTTTAGAAGTTTCATTTTGGGGCAGTGCCTGTGGCTCAGTGGGCACGGTGCCGGCCCCACATACCAAGGGTGACAGGTTCAAACCCTACCCTGGCCAAACTGCAACAGGCATTGTGGCAGTGCCCCTAGTCCCAGCTACTTGGGAGGCTGAAGCAAGGGAATCACCTAAGCCCAGGAGTTGGAGGTTGCTGTGAGATCTGTGATGCCATGGCACTCTACCATGGGTGATAAAGCGAAACTCTGTCTCCACCAAAAAAAAGTTTCATTTTGATGTTTGTTGATTATGGGTTTTTTGGATTTATTCTGCTTGGAATTTGCCTAGTTTTTTGAATCTATAGCTTAGATCTCTTACCAAATTTCGGGAGGTAAGTGTTTAGCCATTATTCCTTCAAGTACTTTTCCAGCTCTGCCCTTTAAATTTGTTTCAATTGGGTTTATAATTGCTCATAGAGCATTTTTATCATGGTTACTTTAAAATTTTGTCAGAAATTCTAATATTTCTGTCATCTCAGTGTTGGCATCTACTGATGTTTTCAATTCATTTTGAGATCTTCTTTGGTTTTGGATGATGAGTGGTTTTTATTAAAATCTGAACATTTTCATATTGTTGTGAGACTCTGGACCTTAAATTTAAACCTTATATTTAGCTGACTTTCCTTGATACCACTCTGTCACAGGAAGGAGTGGCCTAACCACATTACTGCTAGACAGAGATAGAGGTCCAAGTTCCCCTCTCTTCCTCCATTGAGACCTGATGAGAGTGGTACCTCCAGACTGCCAGGTGGAATGAAAATTCAGGCTCCGCAGTTGGTCTCCACTAACAGTTCTAGTAACAGTTCAGAGTGCAAGGGGTTATTACCAGTGACCAGCGGAGGTGAAAGCCCCAGCTCCTTGCTTGGCATCACAAATACCACCCTGGCAGGGGTGCAGGGGTGTTGGAGTACTTCCTTGCAGCACTGAGGTCAGGAGTTTGAGTCCAGCCTGGGCAACATAACAAGAACCCCTCTTGAAAAATAATAATAATACATGCTACATGATTCCGCTTCTATGACATTCTGGAAAAGGCAAAATTTTAGCATTGGCAAACCTGGTGGCCATCAGTGGTTGCCAGATGTTAGGGATGCTAGAAGGGTGTGGGTGAAAGGGGAAGCACCAGTGTTTTGTTGGAATAGGGAACAGTTCTGTGCCTTGATTGTGGTTATACCAACCCATACATGTGTTAAAATTCATAAAACCAAAGAAAAAGGTCATTTTTAGTAATTAAATAAAAATAACACTACAAAGGATTTCTGGACCATCCCACCCTGAAATTGTGCTGACCTTTATTTAGTTTGTCTATAAGCAACTCCACCACCTTACATTTAGCCAAGTTTTCAATGAGAGCGTAAGATTAGCTTTCAGGAGGGCCAATGAGGAGGAGTTTGGCATCGAGACAGTTGCTAAGTTCAACCATCTTAACCATACATAGACATTAAGACATCCAAAATAAATGATTTTTCTGAGCAAATTATATTCCTTCCTAAAATCTTCTAATTTTAACTGTAACTTTCCACAGGTATGAGGCTAGGCTAGTATACTTACATTAAATGAATTAACTCTTCCATTTTGAAATACGTAGAGTAAGGCTTGTGAACAATCCTCAGCTTAGAGAGGGTTTCACTGAACAAGACTGTGGATCTGCTTTAGCACCTCCTTCCTTTTGCTCCCTGTTGCTCCCTGCAGGAGGCTGTGGCTCACTGGATTGCTGAAAGCCGCATTGCCATTGAGGAGATCCGCCTGTTGACCCTGAAAGCTGCCCACAGCATGGACACTCTGGGCAGTGCTGGTGCTAAGAAAGAGGTGAGCTCCCCCAGCCCCCAGTGGCTGAGCCTCCTCCAGTTCTCTCAGTCACTGGGCATTTCACTGTGCGTGCCCCTTGATGGCACTCAGAATATTGGAAGCCCCATATAATTTTGGCTTAAAGATTGTATCTGTCACTTGTTAGTTTTCCTTTCACTAGGCTGCTATAGGGAATGATTTTCAGGATGCGGAATATTTCTAGCATTCTTCAGATGAAGCAGCAAGGAGCAGGAAAATCTTAGGCTTTCTACAGCCCTGGGATTAATTGTACCCACTATGCCCCTTGCTGCTAGCCTTGTGACCATGGGCAAAGCGCCCAACCTTTCTGCTAGTGGCCTAGGGTTCCTGTAAAGAGCCACCAAGAAGATGTACATGGAATATGCTGTATGACACTGCCACAGAGTGAATGTTTCTAAAAGACACCTGGTGTCCCCTGCCCTCTTGTTTCTGGCTTATACAGAACAAGGACATAATTGTTTAGTTCTGAAAGCCCACAAAATTGCTAAAAGAAAACTGATTAGTGGGGCAAAAACCCTTGAACTTTTGTTATGATCCCTATGGTGATGTGTATGATTTATTGGCTGCCTTAAATTCTTCTGGAAATGAGGCAATTTATAAATAAATGAATAAAATGTGACTTGGAAGAGATGTCTCTTTCCAGAGAGTCTGTATTGACTGAAATGCGGCCATTAACTGCTTTACAGCAGGATCACTATGTTGGCTTTCATCAGGGATACCATTTGAGTGATGACTTGGATGTGGAAAAATTTCCTTATTTGTTTTCACAAACGAAATACAGAGTATGTCAAATTCTGCCACATTGTGTCTAGTCTAAGAAAGAGGCATTCTTTCCATATCTGGCTTATGTAGATCGCAATGATCAAAGTGGCTGCCCCACGGGCTGTCTGCAAAATCATTGACCGGGCCATCCAGGTGTATGGAGGTGCTGGCGTTTCTCAGGATTATCCTCTGGCTAACATGTGAGTAGATGTCATTTAAGAACCAACTACATTTGACAGCTGGTTGCAGTGGCTCATGCCTATAATCCTAGCTCTTTGGAAGGCCAAAGTGGAAGGATCACTTGAGGCCAGGAGTTCGAGACCATCCTGAACAAAAAGAAGATTCCATCTCTACAAAATACGGAAAAATCAGGTGTGGTAGAGGCATCTCTAGTTCCAGCTACCTGGGAGGCCAACTAATCTTGGTGCTGAACTCTATGCTAAAGTACCTGTAACACTTCATTTAGCCTTCAATTATACTTTAAAATAAGTTAGTATCTTGCATCTGTAGACTTTTAAATTCCAAGCCTATCAAATGTAGATGTTTCTTTGGCCTTGGGAGGTCCAAGTGGAAGGATCACTTGAGCCCAGGAGTTTGAGATTGCAGTGAGCTATAATGATGCCACTATACTCTAGCCTGGGTGACAGAGAATGAGACCCTGCCTCAGAGAAGAAAATAAAGAAATATCTACATTTGATAGGCTTGGAGATTAAAAATCTATAGATGCAAGGTACTAACTTATTTTAAAGTATAAGTAAAGGCTAAATGAAGTGCTAGCGGTACTTTAGCAGAATTCAACACTAAGATTACTTGCTTTTATGATTATAAAATCTCTCTTCACTCCATTATGTTAACATTTACACTAAGGGCCCACTGAAGGCTCCTGGGCTATCGACACAGCATGGAGTTCTGCTCTGAAACAGAAAGAAGGGGAACGGTGCAGAGATAGCCACAGAGGCCCAGGCTGTGTACACTTAGGACAGTTTACTAGCCACACAGCCAGGCTGCAGCTGAATTGGCAACAGTGCCAGTGACTATCTTATATCCAGATTCTGATTGTGGGGGCCAAGAAGGAACATTCCACATTCCCCATCTTTCCATCTCCACACATAGTCACAGTGTCACCTTTCATATCACACTGGAGATAGAGTCTCATACCTCATCAACTTTTAACCCCAAGAAAGAACTATCTAGTATGAAACCATACATCATCTGTGGCTAACCTAAGATATCTCTAAATTCTAGCAACTTCTAGTAACCTGTAGCAAACCAAAAATGGGATTAACCTCACTGTACTTTGCCACTTAATTTTCCCAAGTTGGAACTTTAAAATGACATTTCAGAAGCCCCTTGGCTTATTTTCCTTGTACTTTTTCTACTACTGTGGTGGGATTTCAAGGATTAATATAGTCTTGGCTAAGAATCAGAGTGACTGAATTTAGAGTGCCATGCTGATCTTGATAACTCCTGTGATTCCGGGTCCTCTTTTTTCCAGGTATGCCCTAACTAGAACTTTGAGGTTAGCAGATGGACCTGACGAAGTCCACCTCTCAGCAATCGCAAAGATGGAGCTGCAGGACCAAGCCAGAGGGTTGACAGCCAAGATGTAAGGAGAGTGACACTGCCACATCCCGCAGGCAGAAGCTCTCCTTTATTTAGACTTAACTGACTGCAACATTTGAATCTCACATTTTTGCAGCATTTTTAGCACAGGGTTAATTACTTGTGGTTAAAAATTTTAGCATCTGTTTTGATCAGTGGGTTTTGTAATTTTGAGGGACACATAGGAAAGTAAACAAGAAATTCTGTAGCTCTTGTCACTCACTCTGGTGCCCAAGCAGTTTAGCGTTTACTT